ACTCAGTATTTAATGCGTCAGGCTAGAACTTACGCTGGGCGTCGTTGAGTGATCGCATACCAGCCATATAGGACTGTCTCCCTCTCGTACCGTCCGGATGGTAGGCTACCTTGGCCAGATACACTCACTACTGAAAAAAAATCGCCATCATGATACGCATCAGAAGGCATTTCGGAACCAGCTCGTGCTGTTATCTCAAAATTGAAATATTATTCCTCATCCCCCCTTTTTATCTTAATCCATCGTTCTCATACATGGCATATAATGCCAATCCCTGGCCGGTCAGTAACTATATTTTCAACAATCTTTCACTAGTTGTTATCAACAGTACGGGGTCTAGATGGTCAAGATCCACCGGCGTCTGTTAAATCTGATTTTACCGGGTTCTGCTCTAATCGTATTACGGCTAGTTAACCTTTCTTTTCATTGGTGTTATTGGGGATTTTCGGTCCTGAGGGATACACATCAGTCGTAGTGACGGCAAAATAATCTATTTAATGACGGTTCTAGGCCGTTGCGTCAGTATCGTTATTGGGCTTGGCAATATTTAATAGCACAACGAGTTCGCCCGAGTTCGCGCTTCCACACTACGCAAAAACTCCCGCGGCTGGTCGACGATCGTTTGTTTCCCTGATTCAGACTGTATTTTTTCGCAACCAGCCCTTGTTGACGGTCATTCCACTATCCATCACCCACAGATTCGGTGGCTAGGCTAGCAGATAGACACCGCCTTGTCAATTATAGTATTACTGCTTGTTCAAAGTCAGCTCTGTTTTACTTATTTTAGGTCTGGATACGCATGGAGACACTATGTGGATTTGTCGGGGTTCTGTCAGTTAAATGCTGCAGTACCCTGTTTTGCATAGCATCGATAGCCATTTTGCTAGTGTTCCTGGTTGAGAATTCCTCCTGTCAAACTCTTCTGCCCGTATTTCTCACGGAATTGTACAATTATGGCAAATGTCTTTATCATCGCCGTGAAACCTTCGATGTTCTACGAGTCCCAAAAAGGTTCGAGTTTTACTAATGCGGTTTAATGCACATGACGTTTTTGATCATTAATTTTTGCAGCTGTCCACTCCACCCTCTGTTATTTGCTACTTTAGCTTCACTATCGTCTCTTGACCGCTACATGCTTTTGTTTTTTAATATTTATATTATACATAACTAGTTTCTGGTTTTTATATATAATTTATTCGGTATGACTGAATATCGATTCAAATAACACTATTGACTCAGCAGACATTTTATTGTCAGTTTTTTTCCACTGTCGGAAGCTTTGAGGTGTAAAGATTGGCATAGGATACGCAGGTCTTCTGAAGAAAATGTAGCATTTAAATTTTTTTATAAACACCACGTAATTTTCGAATACACAGGTCAAATAATCGATACTTACTGTCGCTTGAACCACAATTATCACGGTCATTGTTTTCGCTTTTGCTTCCTGGTGATTTTCTTCAGTTAGCCTTTTGAAAAAATATTCACAAATAAAGCATCACAATGTGGCCTTTCTAGGGTGTACTATGGCGTTTTTTAGCTCCATAACAGCCACTTATCGATAGCATTACTGCGTCTTAGAAGTCCGATTCCCACTAGTCCATTCAGTTTGCTGTTATGCTGCACAAGACAAACACATTGTGACCGTCAGCGTCCGACCTCTGCGTAACTCTTTGGAAAAGAACTCAGTTGTTTAGTTTGGAAACGCATGCCATATATGATACATCTATCTGTATTTAGTTTACTTTAGCTTGCTAACCCGTTTCTGCAAATCGCTTCTCCTCACTTTTTCTACATTATTTTTGAATGAAAGGATTGTCATTTATTGCTCAGCAGGGTGCTATTTTACCTCACGATATGAGCTTGCCTTTATTCCCCCTAAAGTACTTATATACTTTCACGTAGTGTTGGCTTTCTTTCAGCTGGTTTACTCATTTCTATATCGTTGCCATAGTCGCAATCTTCTGTGCAATGCCTGTCGCCCTTCACTGCAAAGGTAAGCTGTCTCTGCTTTCATTTCATCTTTGCCGCATTACGAAATTGTGATGCTATTACGTAGTATTTTGCCGTATCACAATAACCTTGAATACTCAACGAGATTTTCAGTTTTTGTTCTTAAAATGCCTATGTGCTCCTCCTCCTTTCTCTCACACACTCTCGTCTTGCCGACATATAGCCCTAGTTTCCCATGTCCTGTTAGGGTCTACCTGGTCGGGGTCTATGTCTGGCTGGCTGATAATTACAAATAAACTTAAAACGGTCATTTCTGTCCCCCTGGCCCTTGACTGTAACATTTTATCATGACGACCTGTTGATCGTCATACGGTGGCCTATGGGAGTTCTAACTCCAACACCACGACAAAATGGCGCGCTCATATTCTGTTTTGCAATCGGATCGAATTACTCACAGGCTAGCCATTTGGACTGCGTGGAAATCCAAGTTTCTTCTATCAGTTCAACCATGGAAAACCTGTCCAATCTTATTACTGTATCGCACCGCTCGGCGTGATCTCATCAATCACATTTTTCCCACTGTAGTTGCCGTGCGATGTTTTAGGCAAGCGTTTGAAAAGAAGTACTACACGTCAAGAAAACCTCTCACAGTCGAACAGCTGATGAAACTGCTTGCTTTCTGCCAACACATTTTAGTATTAACTATCGTGCAACATAATTCCAAAATATATTAGTCCTTTCAGGATGCTGGCTA